TATTGAGAGGTGACTGGTCTCGGGAAACGGCTGCCCACGGCAGTAACTCCCTCATTGCACGAAAGAGGGGCGACCGGTATTAATGCAGATGCCAGCAGAACCGACGTTTGTGGGGTCTAGGCTATTTGGGGATCTGGCTCGAGTGCACACGCTCGGGCTCTCCATATTAAACTAACCTTGTATCACATCCTGCCAGCGTGAAACGGCAAGAAAATACAATAGCTTCTCGGCCTTTTGGTTAAGATCAAAATGTAGTATCTGTTCTTCAACTTAATCTCATTCTCTCTCACACCACCTCTATCATCCCTTCTTTCTTCCTTTCTTTCATTTTCTCGCTGAAACCAAGAAGTATTTTATCCCTTCTTTCCATGAGATCAAAATGGAATAGTTCAATATTTATGAAGTATTGGCAAGGCTCAACGGTCGTGCAAACTAACGAAGTGATAGACAAGCAAAAAATAACTACTTTCCTTATTTACATTACTCGGATTGTTATGCTCATCTTCATTGGCGTATTCACAACGTTTCGGCCGTTGTACGCTCCGGTCTTCTTCAGGTGATTGGAATTTCGAACCTAACCCTTTATTCCGTCCATCGGGTAGATTGTTCTAGTTCCACGTGCCATGCCTCTTCCGGGTGTCTCAGTTATTCCTCTTTAACTCAACTCGCCAAGTTTAGGCTCACCACTGCTGTGGCCTGGTATTGAACTCACAACTTTTTGGGTCTAGTCACTGGATCTAAGCAACGTCGATCTAACCAAGTAATTATAATCGAATGCCTTATCTTAGAAATATAGACAGAAAAAAAAATAACGTTTATTTTATTTTATTTATCTCCAAATTTTGTGATTTTTTTGCTCAGGGCAGCGTTGTGGGTTCCAGCCTGAGTGGGAGGACAATGATTTATTCCAATATTTCATTTAAACTTGTGCTTATGTATGCGTGTGTGGTCATGCGATGATGTGTACATTGAATAACGGCACAAGTGCACCTATATGTAAGATACTCACACACAACACAGACATTTAATTTATATGGTCACATACAATGTCACACGCAGTGTAGGACAGAGGAACAGCTATTCTTTTATAATGTTGATTTTATTCTGGACAATAAAATAAAATAAAAATAAAATTGAATAAATAAATAAAAAAAAAACACGTTTGGTTTTGTCAAGTTTAGTTATAATTGGAAACTTGAAGAAGAGGAAACGACAAATCTTACACATTCTCGAGGAGTGTATGAAAGAATGTCGTATGGCTGCTGCTGATCAGTCAGTGAACAGTCTCCATAGTAACAGAACGAACGGGGTACTGCTTACTTAGTTGTAATCTATTCCAAGCAGTAAGTCGAAGTCCAAGTTGGGCTCGGTGCGTCTGTAGTGCCTGAAGTGCTGTGTTTTTACTGGAGGGCTTTTGGATTTTTTAAAAAAGAAAAAAAAAAAACGTTTATTTTGAAATTACACTGAAAATGGTGAGCACAATTATTTTTTCTCCCTCTTCATTATTTTTTCTTTTCAATATTTTATCATCAATAGTGTAAAAATAAGTTAACTGATGAAATTTGTTGAATATATTTTATTTTGTAGGTTTTTAAACTTTATTTTAAGTTCCGTTATCTTTTATAAACTCTAACAGATGCAAGAATTTAAGGGAAAGACATAAAATTTAAACTAATTTCTTAAGCGTCGTAGTGAGAAAGAAAGAAAGAAAGAAAAAACGAAAGATGGATGGTGCTATCATATTCATACTGACATATTTCATAAACGAAACACTATACAGCATACAACGGCATACGTCGGCGTTTGGGTGGACGCTTAAATTGAAAAATAAAAAAAATAAAACAAAACAAAAAAAAGCCATTAAAACATCGCTCCAAATTTGTCTGGTCAGACCAATATTTACTTATTTAGAAACTCACAATTCGACAGCGAGACGAAAGTAGTTCTGGGAGGGGATCAGCCAAACTCCAACGGCACAATGCACATAAAAACACACGCCCACAGACACGTACAGACACACGCACTCTTTTGTAAACATATACGGATGAGGTTTTTTTTTGTTGTTGTTTTTGGGGTTTTTTTTTTTTTTAAATAATTAATTACTCATCTTAGTCTGGTAAAAAAAGTCTACAACAGGTGAGCATCCAGTGATGGTCAAATTTCCGAATTATTGGCGTGTGTGTGTGTGTGTGTGTGTGTGTGTGTGTGTGTGTGTGTGTGTGTGTGTGTGTGTGTGTGTGTACCTACCTGGGTTCAAACAACTCACCTAGGTTTTATTTTGCACTATTCCCAATATAATATTCTTCATTATTGTTGTTGTTGGATGAATCAGCAGCGCCATGAAAGTGACGCTCGGTTACAAATATACAAAGAAAGCCCTCCTATCACGACTTGGGTGTCTGAAGGGTATGTGAGGCACATGCATCACAGCCAATTGTATGCCATTTGGTGACAGGTTTTATTATTATTATTGCTCTATTAATTTTGCATACGTACAATCAACCATTCGTTAAGATTGCAAATGAAATAAAGTTTTGTATATACAATACGTATGTGTTTGTGTTTATATATATATATATATACACACATATTGCTACTGATGAATGACATTGTGTTAAAATCTTACAACAAAGCAATCGCACACGTTTTATTTATTTTGACACCTATTTTTAACGCTTCTCGAGAGAACACAGAGGTGCATTGACAAAATTTAATGAATATTTCTTACGAATTTCTCCGTTTTCTTGAATAAAATTAGATTAGTAAGGCAAAAAGTTTACAATTACTTTTAAAAAATACCCTGAATGCCAATCATACTAAGAGCACTGTAAAGTAATTCTCTCCTTTTTTTACTTCAAGTAGTTATTTACTATTAGCTTAGTTTGGTACTAGGCCACTAGTATGGAAGATCCAATGAGGATCGAACTTGAAATTAATCTATACCGAGATTTTTGATATATCAATATGCTAAAAGTCTGTAGTTTTTAAAAATAATGTCCGCCGACAACACTCTGATAGACCACGTGACTACCACCAGATAAGCAGAAACTTTTTTTATTTTATCTCTGTAGTGTATACGTATATCTTCTTTAAAATATACAATATTTTCTCTAAAATGTATACAATGCCATTTATCGCTTTTTTGTTTGTTTTGTTTATGCTTATTGTATGTTGTATATCATATATTTTTAATGTATATATTTACGTTGTGAGGTTGAAGATGTTTTTTGGACCCCAAACTAAATTACATATATATAAAAAAGAAGCACATTTCGACAAGACCGACGCATCACAGAACCAACGACACTGTAATTAAAAAGTAAAATTAATTATCTCCCTTTCAAAATATATTGATTAAAAACTGTACTACTTATGTGAAACTGCTTTTATACAGAATTTCAATTTTGTAAGTAGTTTAGGTATCATTTAGTAAGAAAAATACAATCTTAAAGAAATACGGCTTATAAAGAAATTAAACGGATGTAGTGTTTGCGCTGACGTCCACGCGTCGTTTATAAAAGGACCTTTAGAATAGATTTTAAACACCTTTTTTATACCGTTCTGTGTGGAGGTAAAACTGCAAATTTTTCCTAGTGGACTGGATAACTGAATAATCATGTAAAATTCTGATTTAATATTGAGAACACTTCTGAATGTATCTTCGGGACTTTTTGCCCCACCCCCACTAAAAGGAACATGATACGAGTCGGTGTTTAAAATGGCAGTCCTGTGCGTTAACATGGGGCTATGGTTAACAATTGTCCATATTCGATTGGCATTTTTTTTTTCTTTCGTGATGTCTTAGGTGCCAGGAATTAACTCTAGTCCCTCTTCTTGAGAGACGTACAACCCGCGGGGAGATAACTCCTTGGAGCTAAGTGTAATAATTGTAAACGTACATCATTCTTTTTTTCTGAATGTATTTTTTTTTTTATTATTTTTATTTTTTTTTTTTTTTTTGGTGGACTTTCAGGGGTTAAGTATAACTCTAGTTTGAAGTTGTCTTATCAAACAGAACTTTCAACACGGGAAACGGACAAGCCCGGTGCATACTACCCTCAGACCCCGAACGGAGTTGGGAGGAGTCGCAAGCCTGATTGAGAATTCTGGGCAGTGCTTTGTGACTCTTGCTATCTTATCAACATGTGCTTTTTTTTTCTATCTACATTTATATACGTTACAAATTAAACAAGGCACTAGGATCATTAAAGGATGAAAGGTTTTCGCGGATTTTGACGTCATTCTGGGGTCTTTTTTTCTCGCCCAATCCCGTGAATTCGTTTTTCTAGTTCTCAGTCTCGAAAAAACACGATATAAAATTCGTTATTTTTTATGATCCATCATGGTGAATATGTCTAAAAATTATTCAACATTTTAACAATAAATATGTCAACCTGATGTAAAAAAAATTGCTGATTTATTTAAGATGAAATGATCTATTATGACATGTCTTTAATTTGTATTTAGATACATTGTATTTCTTTTCATTTTTTTCTCGTTTAATTGTTCACCTATATTGCATATGATCCTTTATTGTACATAATTAGGTTACAATAAAATTTGTATTTTATATGAATAATACCTTATGAAAATTGAGATGTCGCAGAGTGGAGGCTCCCGTATCATTGATTCGGGGGGTGGGACCATGAGACACTTGTACCGGCGCTGAAGACAGCTACTACTACAACTCTATAGAACCAAAACGCGCAACCCAAAAGCGAATCATTAACACACCCCGAAGAATCCTTCTAAGCTGCAAGCTATGGTCGCTCTTTCTTCAATTTTTCATAGCTATTTTTTTAATCCACTGCATGCTTTTTCTGTTTGTGTTCTCAACTGACAAAAAGCGCAAGGCATTTATTTTCGGTATTAAAAGCTATGGTTCTAATCCAAGAAAAAACAGGATTCGAATAAGGAGATTATTTTCCGATAAAGTCAAAGGCACATTATAGCGGAAACTGAAATACAATCTTTCTTGCATTCCGCCTACTTCACAGCAATTAAATTTGAGTTATCTGAGGTGCCCTTCTATGAACAAGTATAGATAGATATGTATAGACTCGGATAGATAGATAGATAGATAGATATGTATAGACTCGGTTAGATAGATAGATAGATAGATATGTATAGACTCGGTTAGATAGATAGATAGATAGATAGATATGTATAGACTCGGTTAGATAGATAGATAGATAGATATGTATAGACTCGGTTAGATAGATAGATAGATAGATATGTATAGACTCGGTTAGATAGATAGATAGATAGATATGTATAGACTCGGTTAGATAGATAGATAGATAGATATGTATAGACTCAGTTAGATAGAAAGATAGATAGATATGTATAGACTCGGTTAGATAGATAGATATAGACTCCGTTAGATAGACATATAGATATGTATAGACTCAGATAGATATGTATGTATAGACTCAGATAAACAGACAGGCAGATAGATATATATAGACTCAGATAAATAGGCAGATAGATATGTATAGACACAGATAGACAGATATGTATAAACTAAAATAGATAGATAGACAGACAGACAGATAGATATGTATAGACACAGATAGATAGACAGACAGATATGTATAAACTAAAATAGATAGACAGACAGATAGATATGTATAGAATGAGATAGATAGATATCAGTCTACGTTGTCTAAGTCAGTGTTTCTTAACGTTTTTTTCCTTGTGGCCCATTTTTATTTAAAAAAAAAAATTCAGGCGTAGTAGTAGAAAATATAAATCATGACTAATGACTACACTGTTCGTGGTGTATCCAGGCGCGTTTAAAATATTTCTCAGGTCTGTTTTTGGTCCTAAGGTCCCACGTTGAGAATCACTGCTCTAAATGTTTATACTGTCATATATTGCTGTTAGTTCATCTAAGCTACTCTCTCTCTCTCTCTCTTTCTATCTCTCTCTCCTCCGTGCGTCCGGATTTATCTACCAATTCGAAAACTAATATTTTAATCTTAGTAGTTTGAACCTAATCTTTTCAAACATAAATAAACAACATTGGAAAACTTGCAGACCTGCCAAATTTCTGAATTCCTTAGTGGAGAAGGCCCTCCCGTTCATGACACCACTCGATGGTGTTTCATTATGGCTATTGAAGATAGGAAATTTTTCATTTTCATTCTTCCCGCATTGCTCAGAACAGCATTTCCCAGAATTATTTTCGATAGATTTTTTTTTTTTTTTTGGCAAACATGGACGTTTCGTGCACGCAAAAAAAGATGGATTCTCAAAACGACGTTTTAATTCCATTAACACCGCTATTATTTTAACTACCTTCACTCTTCAGCAATGTTTATTGTTTAAAAAGAAAAAGTGACGAGGAACCTAGACGAAAGTAACGTTTTTATTGATGGAATTTTATATGTGCAGGAAGGACCAGGAGAATATAAAAAAGCAAACGTTGATTATCCACTAACAAGAAATACTGAGAATGCTGGGACGCTGAAATTTTAAATTTTTAAATTCAGTTTTTTTTCCTTATATATATATATATATATATATATATATATATATATATATACCGGGTGTAACAGCAAAATTGTCCAATTTTTAGATTAAGCTTTGAACAGTTATATATTAGAAATGATTAAAGATATCTTACTGGAATTCACCGAGGTTTTTATAACATTACTTGTCCCTATTTTGAGCAATAAGAATGTATAATTACTCTTCAAACTTAGCAGAAGAATCGATCATAAACGAAAATGACGTGTTCATCATTAATTAATCATAGCTAAGGTTCGGAAGCTCATGAAGGATTCAAATAAAGTTCATATATATATATATATATATATATATATATTATTCCAGGATCATTTTACAACTTATTCAAGATGATCTTCGTCCTCTCTAACCTTCTAACTTTCTGTCCTGGAGTAATAGGGTGCCTCACAAGTTTCACGTACGATTTCATTTTCAAGTCTTTTTTCATTGCTCTTTGGACTGTCATGGCTGAAACTATTCTCTCACATGCCAAACGTCTTATGGATTGAGTTGAAACTTTCCTAATTGATCTCTTTAGCTCTAAGTTGAAATGATGATTCCTCTTCCTGTTTTGTCCTCTTGATCCAGTTTTCCTCTCTACTCTTTTTTCAAACTTATTCACCGTTTTTTTGATGATTCTTGAATGGACTTTGAAGATGGAAGCCAGAGTATGAATGTTGGTACCATCACTGAAGGCCTAAATGATCTGTTTCCTCTCACCATTGCTCAGTTTGTAAGAGAGTGGTGTTGACACAAAACGATTTTATCTTGCTCTCTTTCTAGCTGAATAACTCAAAGGATTTTTCAGAAATGGCGTCAAGGTGGCTAAACGTTTTATCTGAAAACCTGGAAAAAAGAAACTCAACATTTTTGCGATCGACAATTATACAGTTACACGATTTGGACAATTTTGCTGTTACACCCGGTATATTAGGAAATGGATTAAATCCGACATATTTTTAATTTATTTGTTTAAACTTTATTTTGAATGGATACCCCCCTCTCCCTCTCTCTCTCTCTCTCTCTCTCTCTCTCTCTCTCTCTCTTCTCTCTCGCTTTCACTCGTTCTCTTCCTCTCTATTTGTAACAGTAATCGTTTGTAGACAAGCGCTGGGAGAGCATTTAAAGAGTGAAGGTCCGGGGAGTAGATTACTCTTTCTTACAGTCTCTCTCTCTCTCTCCTCCTCCTCCTCTCTATTTGTAACAGTAATCGTTGTAGACAAGTACTGGAACAGCTTTTAGAAAACGATAGTGTTATAGAGTAAGTGTTTCGGGCGTAGATTACTAAGTTTAGCTTAGTACGTCACAAAAATGTAAGTAGGAAACTTCTACTACACAACTCTCCGAAATGGAGAATGACTACCTACCATGGAGACCAGCATTCAAAATCCTGGTTTATTACCTGGAGATCGAGTCCCAACATCTGGAGCCGGTGAGAAGTACGCAGCAGATCATTAACACATTTCACGAAAATAAATAAGAAAAAATTAGGTTAACTAAAAAAGGTGAACGCCATCTATGTTAAACGATGCTTTCCGCCAGCTGTGAAAATGGCATCACCCACATAAAACAAAGGGTAAAATAAATTCTAGTTTACTTCCACGGTAAATATTAACAGTTTCCGCACAGACCAGATTTGCTCAACCAAAAGCATGCGTTTGCCGTATTTGCTTGTAATCGTAATACACCGAGTCCCCCGTATTCGCGGGGGTTAGGGACCAGAACCGACCGCGAATAGTTAGAATCCGCGAATACTTGTTACCCCACCCCGCCTAAAAGTGCTTATAAGTACCTATTTTGATTGTTAAAACTCCATATGCCTTAAACTTTCATCCTAAAAGCTTTAAAAAAAATTCAGATCCTTTTAAAAACATTTTAGAAAAATAGTATTGGTGACCATACACTTAACGTAAATTTTCTTTCATACGTACAATAACCGTTTTTAATTACTCATAGATCGATACAACCATTGAAAATACTGTATAAAATATGTGTAACAAGACATAAAATATAAAGTTTAAAAGATTTTCTAAAAACAGAACTGTGATGATGCCCCCAGACTTAACACAAAGCCACTTTTAAGACCCCAGCCGTAGCCCCTTACAAAGAACAAAACCCAAGCACTACGCATGATTTTGCGTTTGTTTTTAAAATGAAGATATACAATTCTGCCTATTTTTACCATAAAAATGGACTGTTATATATTTTAAGTCACTTAAATAACAGGAAAATAATACAAGAATATTTAAAATATGTTCTATCGAAAAAAAATACGTGAATCGAGGGAGTTCTCAGTGAAAAATTTGTACATTTGTTCTTTAGAAAACACGCGAATATTCGGGGTTTCCGCGAATAACAAGTACGTATGTTCTAAAGAAAAATCCGCGAATGTGTGAAGCCACGAATGCTGAAACGCGAATAGGCGGGAGCTCACTGTATATAACCGTTTCCCTATAAGGAAACATTTGGCAATCCTTGACCGAACACAGCCAGTACTGCTTTCATTTGAAATTCATAAAATCTTTCTCTTAAAACCATTTTTCATGAAAATAGATTTCTTAAGTCCAGTAGCTGTTATCACTCTTTTCAGTGGTGATGGGAGTTTCCTTCCTAACCTTTTATTTGAAGTAGTGTGGAATGCTAACATCTTTATTATGTCATTATTTTCTTTTCGAGTTACATGCGCTATCCATTTTAATTTTTGCTGCTTTTGGTAGTCCTCAAGTGATGTGGTTTCTGCTTTTTTGGTACAGTTCTTTAAGACTTGAGTATAATACGACCCCGCATTTCTGAAGCTAAAAACAGGGAATAAATTACATCCTTGAGTATAGTAAAACCCCGTAATACAGCCATCTCTATGTAAATATTTTTTTTAAGTTTTACCATATTAGCCATTAAAATCTCAATGTCTTACATATTTTTCACGATATTAAAAAACAAAAATGAACTGGTTGTTTAGCTATTGCATGTTTCTTCTCCTAATTTCCAGCTCAAACTTATTTTCAAATTTACAGGGAAAGGTGTTTTGTTGTCATATTAATGTTTCCAAAACATGACAGATCATTTGTATCCCCTTCATTGTTATAATCAATTTTTCTGAATTTCTTGTCTTTGAGACAAACGTTCAATTACACTGATTCCCTAAGAACAAATATGGCCGACATATCAAATACCTTTTGTAAACAATTGTTATCAACACCTGCCTATTTTGTGTTTTATTATCTATTGTGCTGATTGAATGCATTTGTAATCTTGCTGTTTCAAATCAGAGAGTTTTTTTTAAGCTGAGTAAAAATGAAAACGTGTACTTGTGTATAATACGAACCCCTCTTTTTTACCTTCATTTTTATTCAAAATTTCTCCTATTATGCACAAGAAAATATGGTATTCGTTTGTTTCTTTTCAGTAAATTGGATGTCACTTAGAAGGCCACATCTGCTGGTCTTAAAACACAAAACCATTGAGAGTGGGATAAAATCACAACTTTCCCCTACCAATCATGCTTTCACTTAAAGGCCAAATTTTAATGTAAACCTTTTAACTTTCAAAAGCTTTTCTTAATTAAATGATCATAAGGAAGTTCACTTTTCTTAGAGAAGTTCAAACTAATTAAGACAATTCAGGTTATTTTTCTTTTTTTTTTTAAAGTCACCATCTATCAATGTCAGAATTTGTTTTTTTTTAATTTTTTTATGGATAGCATTATATTGTGACGAACTTTCTTCTGTGGTACCTAGAGTTTATGAACTTAAGCTCAGTACTAGATTAGCAGCGAGGTCTTATCAATTTTACAGCTGGCTAGATGTAACTGTAAGTTCTATGCTAACAGTTTCTTCTCTTGCACTTCTTGTAGAAATCGTTTACGGTTTCTTGCTTCCCAGTCAAGTTTGATTCTCAAAAATTTACATGCAATGTCAATCGTTATTTTCTGTTTTTATTGCCTTGCTTGGGGTGATTATATATATATATATATATAATATGAAGATTCGAACCCTATTTTAAATATATTTAGGTATTTTATTCAAAGCTTTGTTTGCTTGGTTGGGATGTGTGGATAGGTGACACCTAGGACAACTTCTACCATGTCAGATTAATATCATCCCTTCAACTCATCCTTTTATCATATCTTTGCCTACCTCAACATGTGTATAATATGACTTGAGTATAATACGATTACATGTTTCTGAAGCTAAAAACAAAGAATAAATTACATAGATTATAATATGACCCAGCCATCTCAATGTTAATTTTTTTTAAAGTTTTACCATATTATCCATTAAAATCTCAATGTCATACATATATATCATTAAAATATTTAATTTTTCCCGATATTAATGAATAGAAATGGACTGGTTGTTTACCTATTTAAGGTTTCTTTTTCTAATTTCAGATTCAAAATTTATTTTCAAATTTACAGGGAAAGTTGCTTTGTCGTAACATTAATGTTGCCAGAACATGGCAGATCTTGTGTATTACCTTTATTAATTTTTTTTTAATCAAATTTGTTGAATTTCCTGTCTTTGAGATAAAAGATGTTCAGTTACACTGATTCCCAAAGAACAAATATGGCTGACATA